CACTTCCTGCATCTGAGTGAAGGAGAAAAGACCCGTTTCTCCTTTGCCTTGGCAAAAATTCTAGGATGGTGTTTATCCTTGCCTCAAAGCCCATATCCAGAAGTCTATCTGCCTCATCCAACACCAGGACATCCAGGGACTGCACACTGCTGGCCAGGTCTAAGCCTTCCTTTGAAATATGTCCTCCAAGTGACCCGGAGTGGCCACAATGATGTTCCTACCTTGCTGCTTAAACCTCTCAACATCTTCTCTGGGATTCCTGCCTCTGATCCAAAGAATCTGACTGAACTGTGGGAAGTGCTTTGTGAAATGTGACAGGACCTTGCCTATCTAAATGACCAGCTCCCGAGTGGGAGTGATGATGATGGTGCCAACCTGACTCTTTTTTAACTTCTCTTCCCTCCTCAGAAGAATTTCCAGGATGGGGATGACAAAAGAGAGTGTTTTGCCGCTACCTGTGACTGCTTCTATGGCAGCATCTTTGTTTCTTATGAACAGAGGGATGGTTGAGGATGGTAAGTCTGATTAAGTGGGTACCAGCCTGTACTCAGCCTCACTTTCCCCATCTGGCCCCCCGGGGACAGCTACCTGCACCGGCATCATGTTTGGGAAGCCCAGCTCCCGCAGTACCCCCAGTATCCACGGGTGTAGGAGCACTGGCAGCGACTTACAGGAACCCTCCTGAAGTTTTATTTTTAAACTTCAATTCACACAGGCCATAATTATGCAGCTCCAGGAGAATTCTAGGCTGGGGTAAATCAATGCTAGTTTGTAACAGGTTGTCACACCGCTATATTGTTCTGCCATCTGTTGTGATTTGCAGACACAGTTATGTGTCACTTAACCATGGGATACAAGCTGAAAAATGTGTCATTAGGCGATTTTGTCATTGTGCAAACATCACAGAATGTACTTAGACAAACCTAGTTGGTATAGTCTCCTACACACCTAGGTTATATGGTATAGCCTATTGCTCCTAGGCTACAAATCTTTACAGCATGTAATGGTGCAGATGTAACACAATGGTAAGGATTTATGTATCTAAACATGTTTAAGCCTAGAAAAGGTATAATAAAATATGGTATGAAAGATAAAACACGGTATACCTGTATAGAGCACTTACCACAAATGGAACTTGCAGGACTGGAAGTTACCCTGGATGAGTTAGTGAGTGAGTGGTGAGTGAATGTGAAGGCCTATGACATTATTGTACACATATTGTACACCACTGTAGCATGCAATACTGTACACCTGGATTGCATTCAATTTATAAAAAATATTTTCTTCAATAATTAATTACCTTCGATGACTGTAACTTTTGTACTTTATAAACTTTAATTCTTAAATTTTTGACCCTTTTGTAATAAACTTAGCTTAAAGCACGAAACTTTGTACAGTTGTACAAAAATATTTTCTTTATATCCTTATTCTATAAGTTTTTTCTATTTTGAAAAGTTTTAATTAAAAATTTTTTTAAAAACTTCTTTGTTAAAAACTAAGACACAAGCACACACATTAGCTTAGGCCTATACACAGGGTAAGGATCATCAGTATCACTGTCTTCTGTCTCCACATCTTGTCCCACTGGAAGATCTTCAGGGGCAATAACATGCATAGAGCTGTCATCTATAATAACAATGCCTTCTTCTGGAATACCTCTTGAAGGACTTGCCTGAGGCTGTTTCACAGTTAACTTTTTTTTTTAATAAGTAAGAGGAATACACTCTAAAATAACAAAAGTATAGTTTATACGTAAATCAGTAACATTAGTCATTATCAAGTATTATATAAAGTACATAATTGCATGTGCTACACTTTTATACAACTGGCGGCACAATAAGTTTGTTAACACCACCATCACCACAAACACATGAATAATACGTTGCACTATGATGGCTACACTGTCACTAGGCAATAGGAATTTTTTAGCTCCATTATAATCTTATGGGACTACTGTCATATATAATGAAACATCATTATGTGGCACATGACTGTACTTACATATGAAGAAGCAGTTGAGTCTAGAGCAGTCAGGATCCTTCAATATTAACATGGACCCAAATGATCACTTTCTGTGTGACTCTAAGCAAGTCATGCAGCCTGCTTAGTGTTTTATAGCTCCTTTTAAATAATGATATTACCTTACATGTGTATGAACTATTAAAGTTTACAACACATATTTACGCTTTTCCTTACAACCCTGGTGTGGGAGAGTCAGAGCAGGTATTATTCCTATTTATTTATTTATTTATTTGAGTTGGAGTCTCACTCTATCGCCCAGGCTGGAGTGCAGTGGCACGCTCCCGGCCACAGCAGCCTCACCCTGCTGGGCTCTGGTGATCCTTCTGCTTCAGCCTTCCAAGTAGCCAGAACTACAGGAGTGTGCAACTACGCCCGGCTAATTTTTGATTTATTGTAGAGACGAGACCTCATCAAGTTGCCCGGGCAGGTCTCGAACCCGCGGGCTCAGGCAATCCACTCACCTCGGCCTCCCAAAGTGCTGGGATTACAGGCTGAGCCACCGAGACCGGCCTATTCCCATTTTACAAATGAGGAAACTGAAGTCAAACAGTAGAGAAGTGATATCCATATACAACAAACAAAAAACTATTTAAGCCCTTATCTCACACCATACACAGAAATTAAAATGGATCATAGACCTATATATAAGAGATAAAAGTATACCACTTCTGCAAGAACACATAAGAGAAAATCAAGATTTTGCAGCATGACCAAACACTCTAGTTATAAAAGAAAAATTGTTAAATAGGACTTCATCAAAATTCAAAACTTTTGCTCTTTCAAAGGATGCCATTAAGAAAATCAAAGACAAGCAAGAGACTGGGAGAAAATATTTACAAACAAACGAGGGGGAATTCTCCTAAAAACCAGAATTATCTTTTTGGAGGGAGGGCCCCTTGTAGTACACTCAGAATTTGTTCCTCTGGATCAGATGGTCAACCAAAATTTTATCTGGAAGTTTTGAGAAAGTTGCATCATGATTTGTGAAAGAAAAGTTCCAAGTTGTGGCAAGCAGGTGATTGGTTCTTCCATCATGACAATGCACCTGCCCACACTGTGCTGAGTGTTCAGTAGTTTTTAACTAAAAATGGCATGACCCCTGTGTCTCAGTCTTACTATTCACTTGATCTTTACCCAATGACTTTTTTTTAATTTCGCAGATGAAAAAAGTCCTCAAACATTTTTCCAGTGTGTAAGTGGTGAAACAAAGAATGGCAGAAGCACTAAAAAGCATCAAAATTGATGAGTTCAAAAACTGTTTTGAGCAGTAAAAAAAGTGTCTTGATAGGTGTATTGCATCAAACAAAGAGTACTTTGAAGGTAACTGAAGTTTAAACATTTAAGAATAAATACACAATTTTTTATAAATAAATTCTGAGTTTTTTGGGTTCCCCCCTTGCATAGCTGATAAAAGACCTGTATCCAGAATATATAAAAAACTCTTACAACTCAATAAAAAGACAACTCAATTTTAAAAATGAGAAGATAATTGAATAGACACTTACCCAAAGAAGATACACAAATGGTCAATAAGTACATGAAAAAGTGATCAACACAATTAGCCATTAAGAAAATACAAATTAATACTACAATGAGCTACCACTCCACGTCCACTGGGATGGCCATAATAAAAAAGATGATGCTAGGAACTATGGCTCATGCCTGTAATTTCTGCACTTGGAAGGCTGAGGTGGGAGGATTGCTTGAGCCCAGGAGTTCAAGACCAATCTAGACAACATAGCAAGACCTTGTATCTATGAAAGATAAAAAAAATGATCCAAGCATGGTGGTGCACGCCTATAGTCCCAGCTACTCAGGAGGCTGAGGTGGAAGGAACACCTGAGCCTAGAAGGTTGAGGCTGCAGTGAGCTATGATCATGTCCCTGCACTCCAGCCTGGGAGACAGAGTGAGACCCCAACTCAAAAATAAATAAATAAATAATTTTAAAAAGATGAACAATAACAAGTGTTGATGAAGATATGGAGAAACCGAAATCTTCACATACTGCTAGTGGGAATGTAAAATGGTGCAGTCACTTCAGAAAACAGATTGCAGCTCCTCAAAAAGTTAAACATAGAGTCACCAGATGACCCAGCAATTCCATTCCTAGGTATATAACCAAGAGAATTGAAAAGATTTTTGAAATAATTCAAATGTCTGTGAGCTGATGGATAGATAAACAAAATGTGGTGTCCATTCAACTGAATATTATTCAGCAAAAAATAATGAAATACTGATAGTGCCACAACATGTATGAAGTTTACAAACATTATGCTCAGTGAGAGCCAGACACAAGAGGCCACATGTTGTATAAATTATATGAAGTGTCCAGAAAGAAAAATTCTATGGATAAAAAGTGGATCTCTAGTTGCCTGGGGCTGAAGGTGGGAGCAGGGCTTGATTGCAAATGGGCAAGAGGATAATGGAAATGTTCTAAAGCTGGATTGTGGTAAGAGCTGCATAATTTTATAAATTTACTGAATTATACAATAAACAATGGGTGAATGTTATGATATGTACATTATATCTCAAAAAAAGAAAATTAAACAATCACTGGATAAATCTGCACTGAAAAAAGAATCAGCAAAAGGGGTACTAAAATACAGGTCTTCAGTGTTCTTCCTACTCTATCATCTGCCTCTGAGAAATGGTGGTAATAACAATAACTTTTTTCAAAAGGTCCATATCACAAGAGGGGAAGTAGTGATTCCACCAGGCTTTGAAAATACAAACTAATTCAAAATGCCTGCTGGTACTGCTATTTTGACCTAGTCCATAGTACCTCTATTGGAAAATTTCTACTTTTAAATATTTATATTTCAGAAATCCAGGGAAATTCTGTAGTATGTAACTACATTGTACTATAAATTCATCCTAAAACTCATATCAGAAAGCTTTGTTCTATGTAATTTCTAATACACGAGACAGTTCAGTTCTATAAAATTAGTTGAAAGTTTAATATCACCATTTGACTTACAGTGCGGCTAATAAGGCCCAGGACATCTTCAAAATAGCCCCAAACTTCTTCCAGGGGACAGAGCTCTGCACTCAACACCCTGTTTGGCACTGAGAGTTTAACCAAGTTGTGCATGCATTTGCTGAAAATCAAAAAGAGAAAACTCATCCCATAAGGAAAGAAATCATTGGCTTCATGGCTAAAATAAGTAAAATATGGATCTCATCCCAGACTAAGAGCTTCAAAATACTTCTGTTCTGACCTCCAACTTCAGAAGACAGATTTTTGAAGCTGTAGAACAGGTTGACCAATCCATCCTTTACCATGTGTATGATTGTCTTTCACTCTGTTTTTAGTTTCCTCCACAAAGGAGTGGTGGCTATTTTATTTTATGAGCTGGTTTACTTTACAGGCATTTTAAAGCACCTTGTTACTTCCTCAAGTGGGCAAGAAAATTAGGAATAATTCCACAAGAATTGTCTTTTATGTCTTAGAACAGGAATACTGTAATTAAATGTTCCAGAGGAAAAAAATCGCATGACATCTATTTTTCCTCATATCTGGACACAGAAAACAAACAAAAAAATCTCCAATAAATAATATTTTTTTATTCATGTGCATATCACTATTTGAATCTGGAAGGAAGGTCACTTTTTATTAGGAATGAGAACTGATGTGATGGTAATAAACACCTTAGGCTGAAAGAGAGTAATGCTTCCAGATTGAAGTAAAGCTCTTTATCACCACCTTAGTCCCAATGTGTGCCAGCCTGTGTGGTGTCAGTGATTTCTTTTTTAAAATTTATTATAAAAATGTGGGTTACAATTCAGGGTTAGGTATACTAACATTGATTATGCAGGTACCCTTGTTGATGAGGTATGACCCTAGATGATATTTTACACAGCACTTACTGGTGCGTAAAGAAAAGTGTTTAGAAAAAAGTCAAAGGGAAATACAGCAGAATGTTAACATTTGTTAAGTCTGGGTGGTACAGCCTATAGTCCCAGCTACTTGGGAGGCTGAAATGAAAGGATCACTTGAAATAATGTGTTTGAATGTATCCTGGGCAGCAAAGCGAGACTTCATCCCTAAAAATAAAAGCAAATAAATTTGGGTGGTGAATACACTGGTGTTTATTATATTAATCTATATACTTTTCTGTTCATTTGGAATATTTTTTAGTAAAAAAGAAAGGAAGAAGCATACTTACTAGTTTTATTACATACTTAGATTCACACAAAGAAGCAACTTTCCCCCTCTTTTTCTCCTTTTGGAAAACCAGACCCCTCGACCTTACTAAATAGTAATTTTTGGTCTATAATAAAACTTTCAATATAGAGCTGTTCACAGGAGTGTCCCCAGATCATCTTTTAAGTTGGGCCAGTTGAGTATGATTGATTACTTATGAGGCATTGATGATAGTTCCCTTGGCTATCAAAAAACTTGGATTAGGTGTTGATTTACATTTACTAACCTGTATTTCAAAACATCAATTGATTCTTTCTTTTTGTGGAGTAATAAAGCCCTTTTCAAGGCCTTGAGAGCAATGGAAGGATAGTGTGCAGGCATTTCCATTGCTAATGCTAGAGAAAGAAAAGAAAAAATGTGAAAACCATAATCTCATCCATCACAGTTTTCATCCCCAGCTACAACTTGCTTTCTCTACTGAAGCTGGCCTGAAACAGATGAAGAACATAAACAATCAATTTTGTAAATTATGAATCCACAGATGCTTTTAGAAATAGCTTCTATTCTCTGGGCAGATTAGTATCGTAGGATTAGCAGGTAACATCCTTTCTTCAGTAAATATTAACAGAAAACCTATTATTTCTGTGACCCTGTACATAGTCATACAGGTGAAGCAACAATCTTAAGAGTGAGAGTCAAGGAAGGGCACACTAAAAAGCAAACAGAAAGCAGATCAGTAAAAGGTCACTAATCAAAATCAGATTTATACCACAATGTCCTATTTTTGTCTAATACTAAAAATAGGAAATACTTGACACGGAAGTGAGTATCAGATAACTAACCCTAAAATTTCAGATGCATTTAACAGACTTCTAGAATTAGAGTTCTATTATACAAGGAGCAGTGGACGTGTCCATAAAGCATGCTTCATCTGCTCCATAGCTCCAGTGATTCTGTGTTGGCAAAACCAAGGAAAGGCAAATGCGACTCTTGTGCACTTGGGTATACCTAATATCTTTATTAATCACACTCATGCTCCTGAGGAGGGTGAGAGATAAAAAGGGAAGATAATTAGGTTGTTTCCTGTAGTTTACTCCCAAAAAGCCTCTGAGCCCCCAAACTCACTTAAAGTTCAACCAGAAACTTGAGGGTGGCAGTTGTGTTTAAAATGTTACCAATATTTCTCTGCACATTTCAATAAATCGCTAAGGTGTATCATCTTCGGTCGGTGAAGCGCTCAATTGTCATTTCTAGTTAGCTGAAAAAAATGAACTTTCTGAAGTTTGAGCTTCCCCTACAATGTAGTTATATAATTAAATTCCACACAGAAAAACATTTTGAGCACCTATTATGAGCAATGCACTTTGCTAGAATTTGTAAGTACAGTGAATATAAGTAATTATTGCTCATGACCCTAAGGAGATTGCAATCTTACAGAGTGAAAAAGATTAATGCACAAATGATCATAATACAAAATAGTCTAAGAATGCCACTAGAAAAGGAGAAACAAAATGCTGAGGAAAAATTGTTTCCCACCAGAAGGTAAGAAAGAAGGGTAAAGAGAAGAAATAAAAAAGTAGTAGAACCTAAATGGACACCAGCCTTACAAAAGTACAAATATAGCTCTTACATGCAATTGTTTCAAGTGTTTTACTTTCTAAATAAGGCAGCTCCCACACTGATTCGAGAAAGCTGTCCAGTGATGGATCATTCATTTTGGATTTAACTTCAAACTCGTACAGCAGAAGCAATGTCTCACATGGATCATTTGAGAAGTCTCCTAAGAAAGAGGCAAAAATGCAACATTCTCTGTGATTACATTTCATTATTCTCTTTTGTTGTAATCTCTCTAACTGGGGAAGTTTTCCTATTAAGGAAAACTAATTTTGCTTACAAATTGAAGGTCATCCTAACTTCTGTAGACAGATTTTTTAACATTTAAATATCTATAAACTCACCACTACTTTTCAGTACCCTGTAATGCATTCATTAGCATTACCTATATTTTTTCAAACTATTGGCATGATGCCTCTAACTAGCTTGAAAAATTCCTACTGCTATCATTAAGATTCTAATTCAAATCTAATGTTTACTTGTCTTTTATGAATTTTCAACTAGCCTGGTGCTCATTCTAATGGCTGAGTTAACCAAAAGATACAGTGCTGCATAAACTAGCGGTGGTTTTATTTTAAGCAGAATACAGGCAAATTTCCAAATTGTTTCATTTGCTCAGTCAACAGTACTACTTGGGTATCACCATAAGAAGAATCTTATGTCAGGTGGCATGCACCATACTGTGTGAGACAGTTTTCATTCATCCTTGGTAGACTGTTCAAAAATGTTTTGACTAGCTGGGTGCAGTGGCTCATGCCTGTAATCCTAGCATTTTGGGAGGCCAAGGCAGGAGAATTGCTTGAGGTCAGGAGTTGGAATCCAGCCTGGGCAACATAGTGAGACTGTCTCCACAAAAAAACAAAATAAATGCAAGCATGGTGGCTTGCACCGGTAGTCCTGCTACTCAGAAGGCTGAGGTGGGAGGATCCCTTGAGCCCAGGAGGTTGAGGCTGCAGTAAGCCGTGATTGTACCACTGCAATCCAGGTTAGGTGACAGAGACCCTGTCTCTGAGAAAAATAAGAAAATGTTTTGAGGTATAGTATACATACAAGAAACTGAATGAAGTACTCTAACCTTAAACAAACAGCTGGATGAATTTTTTCAAATGTTTAAACTCATGTAATTCTACCTATATCTTGCTAAAGACCACTTCCAATAGTTCAGAAGGTTCCCTTGTGCTCGGTAGAGTCAATACCACTCTACCAGAGGTGACCACTACTTTTACTTCTATCATGATTCAGTGTTATTGCTCATTCTTGAACTTCATTGCTATTAATAGTACATAGAAATATAATCAACTTTTGAGTATTGGCCTTGTATTGTGTAACTTACTCAACTCATTTATTAGTTCCAGTAACTTTTTTGTAGATTCTTTAAGATTTTCTATATAGACAATCACATCATCTGCAAATAGAGATCGTTTTATTTCTCCTTTTTCGTGCTATATGTCTTTTTTTCTTTTTTCTTTTTTTTTGCTTGACTTATTTCACTGGCTGGGATCTCATGGATGATGTTGAACAGGAGTAGTGAGAGTAGGCATCCTTGACTAAGGGAAAAGAATTCCATTTTTCATTGCTAAGTATGACATTAGTTGTTGGTTTCCTTTTATTATTATTATTTATTATTTTTAAAGAAAGGGTCTTGCTCTGTTGCCCAAGCTGGAGTGATCATAGGTCACTGCAGCCTTAAACTCCTGGGCTCAAGCAATCCTCTTGAGTATGTTAGGACTATAGGTGTGCACCACAGTGTCCTGCTGTAGGTTTTATTTTTATAGATTCCCTTTATCAGGTTGAGGAGCTTTACTTCTATTCCTAGTTTGCTGAAAGTTTTTTTTTTTTTTTAATCATGAATGGATGTTGAGTTTTGTCAAATACGTTTTCTGTATCTATCGAGATGATTTTGTGTTTTTTCTTCATTAATCTGTTGATATGGTGAATTGAGTTTCCAATGTTGAACCTGGGATAAATATCACTCGGTTATGATATATTATCTTTTTCATATGTTACTAAATTCAATTTGCTAATGTTTTGTTTAGTATTTCTGCATCTATTTTCATGAGGGATATTGGTATGCAGTTTTCTGATATTATCTTTGTCTACTATTTGAATCAGGATAATGCTGGTCTCATGAAATGAACTGGGAATTATGTCCTCCTCTTCTTTCTGGAAGAGTTTGTATAAAGTTGGCATTAAATCTTTAAATGTTTAGTAGAATTCTTCAGTGAAGTTTTCTTTGTTGGAAAATTTTAAACTGAATTCAGTTAATTTAATAGGCATAGAACTATATTTCTTCTTGAGGGAGCTTTGGTAGTTTGTGAATTTCAAGCAATTTGTACATTTCACTTAAGATTTCAAACTCATGGTTACAAAAATATTCATCATACTCTCTTATTACTTTTAAAAATAGCTGGAGGATCTCTAATGATGTATCTATTTTCATTCCTGATGTTGTTAATTTGTGTCTTCATCTGCCTGGCTAGAAGTTTATCAATTGTATTGGTCTTCTCAAAAAAAAAAGAAAAAAAATAGAAACAGCTTTTGGTTTCATTGATTTTATCTATTGTTTTTGGTTTTAAAGTTTATTGATTTGTGCTCTTTATCATTTTTTTCCTTGATTGAGTTTAATGTGGTATTTTTTCTAGTTTCTTAAAGTGGAGGCTTATATTATTTGAGACTTTTCTTCTTTTTCTAATAGTACTTAATGCCATACACTTTTGTTCAGATGCTGCTTTAGTTATATCCTCCAAATTTTTATATGCTGTGTTTTCATCTACATTCACTTCAAAATATTCCTAATTTCCCTTGTCACTTCCTCTGTGGCCTGTTGGATTATTTGAAAGTATGTTGTGGCCAAGTGTGGTGGCTCATGACTGTAATCCCAGTGTTTTGGGAGGCCAAGTTGGGAGGACTGCTTGAGACTAGGAGTTTGAGACCAGCCTGGGCAACACAGTGAGACTTCGTCTTTGAAAAAAAATTTTTTTTTGAATTGGAGTCTCACTCCATTGCCCAGGCTGGAGTGCAGTGGCACGCTCATGGCCACCCCAGCGTCAACCTGCTGGGCTCCAGTGATCCTTCTGCTTCAGTCTTCCAAGTAGCTGGAACTACAGGCGCGTGCTACCACTCCCAGCTAATTTTTTTTTTTAATTGTAGAGACGAAGTCTCGCCAAGCTGCTGGGGCTGATATTGAACCCGTGGGCTCAGGCAATCCACCTGCCTCAACCTCCCAAAGTGCTGGGATTACAGGTTGAGCCACCAAGCCCGGCCAAAAAATTAAAAAAAAAAAAATTAACTGGGCACGGTGACTTGCACCTGTAGTCCTAGTTACTTGGGCGGCTGAGGCAAGAGGATTGCTTCATCCCAGGAGTTTGAGGTTATAGTGAGCTATGATCGCACCACTGCACTCCAGCCTTGGTGACAGAGTAAGACTTTGTCTCTAAAAAAACAAAAAGAGCATGTTGTTTAATTTCTAAATACCAGGAGACTTTACAGATAACTTTATATTATAGAGTTATAATTTAATTTCATTATGGTCAGATAAAATACTTTGATATTTTAATAGTTTTATGATTTTAATACTTTAAAAGTTTTTGAAATTTGTTTTATGGTGTAGAATATAGTTTATGGTGATAAACGTTTCTCATGCATTTGAAAAAAACTGTATTCTGCCGTTGTTGGATAAAGTGTTCTATAAATGTCAACTAGATCAAGTTAGTTGATAGTGTTGTTCATGTCTTCTAGATCCTTAATGAGTATGTTTATTTATTCTATTGATTACTGAGAGAGGAATATTAAAGTTTTCAATTGTAGTTATGCATTTAAATATTTCTCATTTCGGTTCTATAAAGTTTTACTTCATGTACTTTGAAGTTCTGTTAAACTATTCCATTTACAATAGCATCAAAAAGAATAAAAACATCAATCTTATTCACAAGATGATGTGATCTTGTGAATAAAATTCCTAGAGAATTCAGTAAAATGTCATTAGAACTAATAAACAAGTTTACCAAGATCAATATACAAAAATCAATGCTTTTTTTTTTTTTTTTTTGAGTTGGGGTTTCTGTCATGCAGGCTGGAGTACAGTGGTATGATCACAGCTCACCGCAGCCTCGAGCTCCTGGGCTCAGGTGATCTTTTTTGCTTCAGCCTCCTGAGTAGCCGGGACTACAGATGTGCACCACCATGCCCAGCTAATTTTTTCATTTTTGGCAGAGACAGGGTCTCGCTGTGTTGCTTAGGTTGGTCTTAAACTCCGGGCTCAAGTAATCCTTCAGTCTTGGCCTCCCGAAGTGCTGGGTTTACAGGCATGAGACACCACACCAGGCCAATTCTATTTTTATATGGCAGCAATGAGCAAGTTGAAAATAAAATTAAAACAATTCAATTTATAATGGTATCAAAAATAATAAAATAGCCGGGCTCGGTGGCTCAGCCTGTAATCCCGCGCCTTTGGGAGGCTGAGGTGAGTGAATTGCCTGAGCCCGCGGGTTCGAGGCCTGGGCAGTGAGACCTCATCTCTACAATAAATCAAAAAATCAGCTGGGTGTGGTGGCGCATGCCTGTAATTCCGGCTACTCGGAAGGCTGAGGCGGAAGGATCACTGGAGCCCAGCAGGCCGAGGCTGCGGTGGCTGGGAGCGGCCACTGCACTCCAGTCTGGACGACAGAGTGAGACTCCAACTCAAAAAAAAAAAAATAATAATAATAATAAAATAATTAGAAATAAATTAATGAAGTATACAATTTGTACACTAAAAACCACAAAACGTTGTTGAAAGAAAGATATAATACAGTGGAAAAAATCTGATGTTCATGTATTAGAAGATTTAACATTGTAAAATGGCAATATTACCCAAAATGTTGTATAGATTCAACATAATCCCTGCCAGAATTCCAGCTGGGTTTATTTTTTTTGCAGAAACTGACAAGTGATCCTAGAATTCCTATGAAAATTCAAGGGATCCAGAATAGCCAAAACAATGTTGAAAAAGAATAAAGTTGGAGGACTAACACTTACTGATTTCAAAACTTACTGCAAAGCAAGTAGTCTTGGGACAACTGGATAGCCACATAATAAAAAATGAAGTTATATCCTTATGCAATATATGCAATATACAAAAATTAACTAAAAATGGATCAAATAATAAAAGGAAGAGCTAAAACTGTA